TCAGCAGGATAAATTGAAGAACACTGTTGACATTCATGAACTCACACTGACAGAAAACAAGGACAAAAGGGGAACCAGGACCCTCTAATTGTTTCTATTTTTCCTATGAGCAATGGGAAAAAGCACTAAGAAAGAACTTTTCGCAAAGCATATACTTTAATTTAATGACAAGCCAGTGCAGTTAAGAAGTTAATTCAGGAAATCTATTCCAGATGCCATCTAATTTTCCAGGCAGGAGACAGAGACTTCCCTGAGCACCCAGGAGCATCACCCGCTTTGGTGAAAGGATGTACATACGTGTCTCCTGCGTAAGATCCTTTGGCACTTAGTACAATCCTGAAGGAGCTGTATCTGACAGATGTACACAATGTTTCTAGCAGTAAAAACAAGTGAATGACTAGAGGTATCAGTCAGAATGTGGAATATGTGGGTTTCAAAAGCCTCTATTTTCATGTGAAATCATTTAGAGTACATCATTAATTCAGATGAAGAGAGTGTTCTATGATTCATTGTATTTCTTCAAATGAAGCTTAAGTCCTAGAGGAAGATAAGTGCTAATCCACAAAGATGAAGGGGATCTTGGCTCTGGATACTGATTGAGAGACAGAGGACTCTTTTAGTGCTGGTTTTAATTCTTACTGGGTTTAAACCAGAAGTAGTAAAAAAATCAAGGACCAGAGACTCTTGATCTCCCTTTCTAGCCAGCTGCAGGAAATATAACACAAGTGCTAAATGTATCTTCTCCTTAAGGAAGGAGAAAGACGGATCACTTCCTGGAGTTTAGATGATCTATTTCTTAGCACACCAGCTTTTATGAATCCAGATGAAGAGCCAGATTTTACCTTGTGTTTCACCTGAATTCCTTCCTGGGGCCAAGCACGCCTTAGGCATTGCAGCACCAACTATCAAAACATTTAAGTACTTCTGTTTAATGCTGCTTTGACCCCAAAGGAGCTGCTCTGTCTGGAATACCTGAGTGAAGAGGCTAGAGGTTCGTGAAGTCTGGTCAAGTTTTACACAAAGATAAAGAAAGGCAAGTCTGCATAGATGGTTTAACATGGCAATGCCTCATAC